CGTATGCATCTTCGTATGTTTTGCAACGAAAGCAATTCATTTGGAGGCTATCAATGGTTTAAGCACTCCCGCATTCTTAGCAGCCTTTTCTAGGTTTATAGCAGGTAGGGGACGAATTTTATTGGAGCTTCTGGAACTTTAAAACCCGAATTCTAGGAACTCTTAAAGGAATCTCAAACAACAATTGTATCAAAATAATTTTATCAGGAACGTTCATGGCATTTAATTCCACATTTTCGGAAGATAGCTTCCGGGCTGAAGTTTATCTGCGATGAACCACTCAGTACAGTTTCGAATGATTCGTCACGTCTGGAACCATTGACTCCAGGAAATACAGCTATTCAAAAACCCGTCTTCTGTCATCAACTACAATAATGATGATTCAAACGCCTCCAGCTTTAAGAGAAGGTTGCATGCACATAATCGTCCAACTACTAAGCCAAAAATTTTATAACGAGGATATTAGATTTGTTCAGATATTGGATTCTTATGTCAAGTTCACTATATAATCTGTTGTATGAAAATCTTATGGCCGCTTGGAAAAATCCAGTGATCCCCAAAGGTTACCGAATTTCGTCAAATTGTTTCTTAGAATCCTGGGAGGCTTTTTTCAACAAAAGTTTTCGGGATGCGGCCTATTCGAAAACAAAAACTTATATCCGTTCCTAACGATGTTCTTCAAAAGTCACCGACTGATTGACATGAAGTTTCGTCATATTGTTCTATGATTCCTTGAGAGGCTTTTTGGGAAGTGAACCAGAGACTGACCTATTCAAAACAAAAAATTTATAATAGTTATGGTTCGATGTACTGCAAATTCGTTACAGAGGTGTTTTTTTTTTGCTTAGATCAACGGGAAGATTATTATTCTCTTCGGGAAGTGGACCGGAGACTGACATATTCAAAAAAATCCGGCTGTTCCTATCTCCGGAAGTGGAACAGGGATTGACTTATAAAAAATTTGTATTTGTCGTTCGTTGAATTTTCGTTTGAAATTCGGAGAATAGATGGATATTTACTTAGACTAGCAGGAAAACTACTTTTCTCTACGGGAAGTGGGCCAAAGATTCGAAAAAATCTGATTTATGATATCATATACTTAATATTCGGTACATAAGTTGATTAGATTAACAGGAATGCAACTTTTACCTCCGGAAAGTTGACCAACAAATGACTTATTCGAAAAAACTTAAATCTATTGAGTAAATAATAGAGTATGTGCGACAGCGAAGCGTTGCAGGCTACAGCGAGTATTATTTATTCAATACATAAATATATCGCTATTATCGGTTTATTGCGAAACGAATGTAATGGTAACTGCCGCAAAATCTCTTGGATTTGAGATTGGCATTGTGTTAATAAATATCATATATATCTGTATTTATATGTTTGATTGGCAAAATTACCACTGCTTGCTGTTTCCATTACTGAAATTTGTCTCGTAGAAACCAGCGCCAATTGGATTTCTTCTGAACAACTGACATACTTGATAGCTCGCAGTATTTGAATTATAGCTTGTATAGTTGCCAGTGTTGTCTTTTATAAAAGAACTTTAAATAAATTAAGAAAGTATCCCTTTTTTTGAGAGAAATAAAAACTGAATTCTCTACTAATTATTTGATAGGCATTTACATTCGAACATATATATTATTAAATTTGTTAACGATAACGATAAATTCGATTAAAACTATGCTAGCACACTGGCCGCTCGCAACATTTCGCCTTTGCAATCAGCGTCGATAACCTGCGACAAAACATCTCTCTTCCAGTCAAGTGGCACGCATGGGAGGTATGCAAAATGGCTAGTTGGGCTATAACTTTTGTGACCTTTGGCGGATTATTATCTTCTATTAATTTTAGTAAACGGTTGATATGAACTGATACAAAGGGCTCTGGACCCGGTACAACAATTTCATCAAGCACAGCATGTGTGGGTGAGACTCACCCGTTCTTATCTTTTACCATTTTATTGGAAAATAACATTTATTAATAATTTATTTAAATATGTCAAGTTATTTTTTTTCAGCTCACAAAACTGTTAAAATAATACTTCCATATGAAGGTTCTGTTGTCATTGTTGTGTATTTTTATAAATGTGTATTCTTTTTTGTTTCATTTTATGGGCTTTGTTTTTCGACGTTAACTTGCTTTCGAAGCAAACAAGATATTTTTTAAAATGGTCAAAAAGATATGTATAAATAAATATGATTATTTGAATCGCACAAAATACATATTGTACATAATCAAATTTCTGAACGTTATTTCATCAGTGCATTTCCCATACTATCAAACATTACTACAAAAATGGGCTTGTTTTTGTCAAGCATCAGTGGAGACCATCAAATTATCGTCGGTCAAGTTCAAATATCAAAAAAATTTTGATTTTCATCAAGCAGAGCAGATAACAAATGTTAATGTTAAGTTTTGATGGGCTTATTTCACATTCTCCAATTGCAATTTCATTTGCTGTAAAGAAATTAGTTGAATTTTATCCGAATCCATAGAATGACGAGAAGAATTGAGGTATACATTTTCAAAGGAATACTAGAATTGATTGTATTAGAAACGGTTTGGTATTACATTAATACATTATAATTCAGCAGCTCCGAAATGACGCGCCAAAAGTAATCGGACAAACCCTAAATTCGTGTAAAAATGTGCAGTCGCCTTTGTTAGAGTTAACAAATGCTTTACGTACGTTAAATTTATTTTACAAGTTATAAATACTTTTGTTTAATAATTTGCACTCCGGTGGAAGAAGGTCTCGCCACAACTCGACGGGAGAGAAAGGCGGTGTGTCCAAAGGTATCCTTGAGCGCTTGGAGCAATCTCATGAGCGTTTTCTTCACCACCGATGTGAAAATGGTTCAGCACACATCTTCTCTCTAAGAACGCTCATATGCAACTCAATACAAAGGAGCTTTGTAACGGTATCCCAAACTCCCTTGTACTGCCGCTACGGAAACAATTGGTTTCCTGCAGTGACAGAACAGTTGGTACGATTAGGAATGTCGACCTGCAGTGGAGAGAAAACATACTGCCTACCTCGCAATCTCACTACCGACCGCAACACGCGCGGGGAGGGATAGATACCGAGTGCTGAAAAGAGAAGCAAGACACATTTGCCGGGAAAAAAGAGGCCGAAATACGGGAGTAAGAAAAGATTGAGAAGGTGACGGACAAGGGAAATGCTCGAAAATTATACGTAAAGATACGAAGGCTTTATGACCGGAGTATACCTTTGTAAGACAATGAGTTGTACGGGATGATTTTGTTCAGCAAATCAAAAGACTACGGCCACGCTGGCTAGGTCAAGGAAAACGCAATGTAATCAGAACTTGACTCAAATCCAAGCTTCATATTTTGATGGTTCTTGTAGTAAATAGCATCACCACCTCCTCTTTTGACGATACGATCATTTCTAACAAGCTTGTCACGGACGAAACAAATTTATCATAACAAGATTGTTGTCATCAATGTCATTAATCCTACTACCACCAACACCACATGTACAGCGTTGTCCAAAATAAAGAAAACATAAACCTGGTCGAAATTAAATTTTTGTCACAATAAAGCTACGGCGATGTTGTTTCCATTATTGTGAGAAGTTAACTTTATAAGTCTCAGCTCTGGATAACGTCAGCTAAACTTTCACTCAAAGCAATATTTGGCATGGAACGAACAAAACGATTCGGCCGAGCTCCTTCTTCCACGTTTGTGGTTTAGCGTCTTGATATTTTTCATGTCATGAAATACACTCGCAGCGGTTGACATTCCCTTCGTAGGGCTGACTGCAATTAAAAAATTTAATAGATTTTTTTAACCTTTGGATGTTGGTCGTACTAGGTTTTGCACCCTGTCTTTCCAAATGGCAGTACAAGATAATAACTAAATAAAAATTAAAATACTGCGTCAGATGAATGATACTTTTTCATCCATTTGAACCAGTTATCGGAGCCACTCTGATTCGGGCATCAACCGCATTTTCCAGTGTCGATAAACGTTGCTCTTTTTTTATTTTACACAAAAAATTAAATTTATGCATTTCCCACAAATGCCTTTAGTTGTCCCAGCCTCACGATAGCTCACATACGATTTTGCAATAACTATTTGTACACGTCACCAACTGCTGATATTGGTAGATAACCACGAAATGCGTCATGGATTGATCTACGACCTCTATTGAGTTCATCATTCCATGGATAAACCTTGGCATATGCGTTAGCGCCGATTCATCGCGAAGATGTTCGCCAAGATGTATATTATTGGCAGAAAAGAAAAAAAGCGAGGGAACGCAAATTGATTTAGCGTGGATCATCTCAATCCCAATTTCCCCTAAATACTTTTAGGAATTAGTTTTTGTTTACTGCCATTTGAGGTACTTATGCATATATGAATGCACGTGTGTACATATGTGCATGTGCTTGATTGCTTATGTCCATAAGTGCAGTTTTCAGATGAACAGCAAAGCAATAAGCCTAAAGTGTCTATCGGATGCTAAACTCGGTTTGTCAGACGCTCGACAATTTACATGCTTGCTTGCTTAGACGCTTAACAACACCACTAAATGTTGCAAAACGCCAGTTGCCAAGTGGTGTAAGCTTGACTTACAAAGCCGTTGGAGCACGCCCTCGCTCCACAAATTTTGAAGACCTAAAAGGGTCTATAAATTCTCGACGTAACAAATGGAATGGTCACCTCACTTCTAATTTTTCATACGAAGTTCACACCCGAGCTCCATTAAGAGCCAAAAGGCTCTATGAATAAATTCAAGGGTATTAATTAACAAGAACAGGTGGTTCCCCTCCTACGCCCCCAAGGCTTAGACACAAATATATGTAATGAATGCGTTATTTAAAATTCACACTCTTATCTGTTTTCCTGTGCGAGGGCTATAATTAACTCAGAGTAAAGCTTGCGAGGTATGCGATAAAAGAAGTTAGTAAATAAACCTTTAATATAATTACAATAATATTGTGTAATAGAACTTCAATGGAAACATGGTACCGCACTGGTGGCGCTGCGAGGAAGAGAGTAGGAAGTGTATTGTCAAGTAATACAATAGTAACGAAAATCGAAATTATGCTCTTAATATAATCGATTAACAGTATTAAGTTCTATTTTTGGTTATATGACTTAAAAACCAAAAAATTGTTCAAATATAGTAATTTGGTTTAAGCGGAAACCAAAAGTTATTGGTAAATGATTGTTAAAATATTTTAATTTTGGTTATTACTATATTTTTGATTAAAGTAAATCTCAAAAATTTATAGATATTAAATAATCGAATAACATTTATTGCAGAAATTAATGAAATGCTCAGCATGGAATTACAAACATCCGAAGTTAATCATGACACGAATTCATTACCGCTAGTTTTATCACATCAGAGTAATATCGGATCCAGTCGAGGCCATCATTTAAGTACACATAATATACAACATTTGCATCATCAAACAACATTACATTCAATATCAAATAGTACAGCCGCATTTCATTTAAATTCTGCTCCAGTTGAAGCTTTAATGACTAAAACAGGGCAAAATGCTACACATATAGGTTTTTGGCAACCGCAGCATCAGCACGAGATTCCATATTCGCTGACTACGCAAAATAATAACGATAAAATAAAAGGTAAACTCATAACGTTCCTAATAGGACATGAACCAACCAGGAAGTAATGATAAATCACGTATTATATTTTATGTCAAATTTCCGCCAAATATCCTCATATACAGCAATATTATATTTAACATTTTGCATACACACTCCCCCGCAAGTTAACTTAGTTAACTTCATTTTGCTTAATTTGGACGAACTGGATTTTTTCAGTATGACCACAGGCCCAATAGATTTAAAAATATCGTTCTAATGCTTGAATAGACCTTTAAAAATGGGAGACTTTAATATAAGAATAATATAGAAACAAATTTTTTTTACCTTCCAATATTTTCAAAAAGAGGTTTCCGATAAGTAGGTTAAATAATTTACATTATTGATGCTTCACAGCGATTCTCTATTAATAATTATCGTTTTATCAGATATGCTAAAGGGCTAATTACTTTTTATATGCAGTGGTGTCTGGTTGCGGTTCTTAAATTGCGGATATGCGTAGGGTTTGGAATTCAATACATGAAAAATAAACTCCTATGGAAGATCGAACAAAGTCTCTGATGAAAGATCCCCTTTTAATGTTCTTGGATTCCTATCCTGTCCCAGCGAATATCAATAACGCTCGTCAACAAACACAAAGAAGGCTTGATCTTGAGCAGTTTTCTACTCGACTTGCACACCTGTTTTCTGAGGGAACTCATGAGCAAGGCGATATAAGAAAATTGTCAAACCGCATCCCAAGCTTCCTACGTAACTCCTCTTCGGAAACAATTGGGTTTCCTGGCAACGCCAGTATAATTCTGGTACGATGAGAAATGTCAAAGCTTAAGAGTGAACTGATCAACAGCATGTATTGACTATGACGATTAAATCGGACCACTTACTCATACTAATCTTGATTGGCACACCTCTCGAACATAACCGTACTCAACGCCATAGACTTTCAAATATTTAACAAACGCAACCAAAACCGCCCCAGCGCGCGAACTGCACCAGCAGACCTATGACCTATGTTTGAAAGTAAACTGTTATCTAGCCGATCTTTCCCACTTCTTCATTGCAAAACAATTACAAATAAAAGCGTCAAAATCCTCGGCTATCCTTTTAATCTTTACATGCTCGAGCTCGATGTAAACAAAGATGCATCTACAACCCAAAGTTACTAATAGTCACATTAAACTGCCTGTTCTCTTTCTCTTTCACTCCGCATACCACCGCGATTGCTGCTAACATCCAGAGCCGCAACAAGACCCTAAAAGCAGTACTCTTCAGCACCTGGAAAAATAATAAAGAAGCTTTGATGGCAAAATATAAAGCAATTGGCCGGCCATTCGATAACTACGCCACATCGATCTGGGCACTGGGCACTGGGCACAAACAAGACGCAGTTGAAGAAATTGTAGACTTGTCAAAACATCGCCATCAGGACTATGAAAGTCAACCTTATGATGTCGGCCAGAGAGTACGTCAATACTTTCATTTCTTTCTCCCTTCTTTCATGAACTTTCTTCACGTAAATGGAGTTCCCGGAGACAAACCAGCATCTTTTGCAGATGAAGAGCTTGAACTAATACTGGAAACACTTAGTTTTGGATATTGAAGTAGATTAAACTGCTGCTTATCTAGACTCGACCCCGACTTACCTAACGTATGTCCTGCTTGTTATGCACCCCGCAAAACACTAACCACCTCTTTGCATGCCCCTAAAACCAACTCTTTTAACCCCATTCGCTCTGGTTAGAACCCGACGGAACAGCTCGTTTTCTGCACCTCCTGAAAAAACGTTCCGGCCAATGACGAGGTTCGAAAAGACGATTACTCGTATTAAGGACAACAAAGTGGATGCAGCTAACCCATCCAATTCAACCACTAAACTATTGAAAAAAGGTGGTGAGGTGCTGACAAGGTGCACAAATTAGCGTGAGAATTAGCTGATTGGACCTTATCAGTGTGGCCTTAGACCTGGTAAATCCACCAACGACCAGATATTCACTGGCCTTAGAAAATACCAGTAAGAAAAGAATCGAGACACACCACCTTTTTATCGATTTTAAATCTGCCTTCATTGGCACAGGAAGTATGTTTGAATTTGGTATTCCTGCAAACTCATATGGCTGTGTGAACTAACGCTTAACAAGAAAAGAAGCACAATTAAAATTGGAAATGATCTTTTCGAACAGCTCGGTACCAAACGAAGATTGAGACAGGGTGACTTTTTGTAGTGCGATTTCTTCAATTTGTGTTTGAGAAAAAATACGAGCTGAAGAGCTAAATATATATTTATATATATAATTGGCGCTTGCTAACCGCTGACCGGATTTTCGGCCGAGCTCCTCCTCCAGTTTGAGGTTTTGCGTCTTGATGTTTTTCCAACAATGGGAGGGACCTACAGTTTATACTAATCCGCCTCCGAAACCATCAGTCGTTTCTTATGAGGAGCTTTATTTCAGGTTTGAAATACACTCGGAGAGGTCGACATTCCCTGCCGAGGGGCGACCTCAACTAGAAAATTTATATTATTAATTTTTAATTTGGATGTTAGTACGACACCAGGACTTCAACCCGAGTCTTCCGAATGCCAGTACGCAATACAATGATGATACAGAAGCCTGGACGATGTTGACACCCGGAGTCTTTGAGAAAAAAGTTTTGCCTCTTATGATCCTTTACGCATTGGGTAAAGCGAATGAATGTTGACCTGTAAGAGTTATACGATGATATTAACGAGTTCAGCGAATAAGGAGACAGCGGCTATGATGCAGTACGCGCTGGTGAAAACAGAGGTAGACCTTTCCGTTTGATATTTTTAACTTGCGCCAAACAACTAAGATAAGGAACGAATGGTCTGCGGTACCCACACCAACTTGAATTCCAATTGAATGCAATTTAATATGGCATTTTAGAACATTACGCAGATCGTCATTCCGAGCAAACCTGTTTAAATTTGTATGTGCATATTTCTTACAAATGCCAATTACGGCGAGAAACATATATAATTCGGGTAATCGAACATTTCAAATTAAGGAAAAGTATAGGGTCTGAAATATGTAAATACTAGAAGGATACGAAAGTTTAAGCAGGTTGGATTGCACCAACAAGCAAAGTTTATTCAGCTACTGAAGTCTGTCCATATACTTGATACAATTGTTAATTTGAAATAAAAACTGGATATCGTTTAAAGTAATGAGAATATTTGTAATTTTATATTTTCTAGTACGTAAAATTAAGTCAAGTCTTTTACGATTGTCAAATAAAGGGTGATTTTTTAGCTATTTTGTTTTTTGCAACACTGATTTAAACAGCTGACGCACGTTTCGTGTTTTGTTTCACTATAAAACGTCCTCAGTTTGGTCTATAATTTAACCAAACGAGCAAGGCTTGCAAATTATAGAATTTTATTATCAAAATGCGTGCTTTGTTAAGAAAGTTCATAGCGCGCTGCTTCCGCGCGCGTTTCGAAGCTCATATTCGGCTTAATGGGTGCGTAATCAAGCAGAATAGTCGATTTCTGAGTGAAGGTCAACATGCAATAGCTTGACTCCACATTCGGGACCGGTCGATTGGCCGCCTATATCGTGCGATTTAATGTCTTTAGACTATTTTTTGTGTTATGTCTATGCAGACAAGCCTGCTTCAATTGACGTTGGAAAGAGTATTCCAAAATTGGACTAAGCAGATGATCCATATGAGGCTCAGTCACGGTCGACATTTGCATGAAATAATAATGCGTGCTTTGTTAAGAAAGTTCATAGCGCGCTGCTTCCGCGCGCGTTTCGAAGCTCATATTCGGCTTAATGGGTGCGTAATCAAGCAGAATAGTCGATTTCTGAGTGAAGGTCAACATGCAATAGCTTGACTCCACATTCGGGACCGGTCGATTGGCCGCCTATATCGTGCGATTTAATGTCTTTAGACTATTTTTTGTGTTATGTCTATGCAGACAAGCCTGCTTCAATTGACGTTGGAAAGAGTATTCCAAAATTGGACTAAGCAGATGATCCATATGAGGCTCAGTCACGGTCGACATTTGCATGAAATAATCTTAAAAAAATAAGTTATATGGACCTTACTGCCGGTTCAAATAAAGATTTCATGCATTTTCCTGATTTGGAAAATCACCTTTTGCTCCGTCAATGTCTAAACAACCAGTGACAGCTGTATACTACCAAAGCGAAACGAACAAATGTTTGATTGTATTCAAATCATATAAATTTTTGTCAACCTCTCGTTGGTCGCATTTCGTAAAGAAAGGATTCTGTACGTGTACATACTATGCTCCATTTCGGAGGGACGTAAGTAATTCATATGCCAATCGGATTGAATCAAATGTATTCTTTTTAATCATCGTTGGAAAGAAAAGTAAATCGAGCTGCACAAACAATTTGTTAGAATAGGTAGGCCCTACGTTAAAAAGATGAATTCAAGCCACTCAAAGCGTTTAATTTTCACCTTCTTTTTCGTGGCTGCTTATTCTTAATGATTTAAAAATATAAAAGCAGTCAATTATATAAATTAAGGAGATATAGCTACACAACTGTTATGCAGGTTATCCATTTCGTGGTTTCAAAAGTACAGGGCTGTGTTTTGAAATCTGTCAAACTCAAACTTAACTATTAAACCAAATATATTTTCTTTAGTTGAAAGTAGGACATTTATGAAGATGGATCGCTTCACAACCGCACAATTTCTTGAAATAGTTAAAACTTATCTCAAAAGTAGTGAATCAAACGTCGCCTGGATTCGAGCTTTAAGAGGAGATGAAGGTGTTCAGAATCGTTGAGCAGTTGGACAAGTTTTTAAGAATTTGTAATCGGTTACAGATGTGAGGCTAGTTCCACCTCCACTTAGGTGAAAGTGTAGCCGTGCCTATTCTTCGACATTCTTATGGCGAAAATAACAAATTGAAGGAGGAGCTGGGCCGAAAATCGCTTTGCCGCCGAAACAACTCGCTGAAATAGTAACATCGAAAACAGTCGTTCCATTGGGTTAACTCAACGTGCATATCAGAAAAAATAACACTT